TAGAGACACAGGCAGAGCCCCCGGGCCATGACCTTCAGGGGTCGGTGCTGACTGTGTAGCAGCTGCACTGCCTCATGTGCTGTGTTTCTCCTCTGGACCCTGATGGGAACCAGTTTCCTTCCCTGGGGATGGAGAAGTAGCTTTGTCATGACAGGTGTGTTTTGGGTGAAGATGTGGGTAATGATTTGTGAGCAATGAGAATGTTAGTACTGGAAACCTTTGTGTCTGCATGGGACCCGGAGAGCCCTGTCTCCATGTCCACACATGATGGGAGGGAACTGGAACAGGGGCCTGACTCAGGGCAACACTGGGGAAGCCACCGGGGATCACGAATGGGGGACGTAACCCAGACTGAGGACACACCACCCAGGGTTCCTGCTCCATTCGGCTCTGACTCTCCTTGTTGTGTGATGGGTTCAAGTTTCCTCTCCTCACTTTCCTCTGAAATAGCCCCACACGTTCCCTAGAGTCATGAGACACTGTGGGGAGTGTGCAGGGCACCAGCCCCGTGTGTGCTGACCTCGTAGCTCCCATCTCTCCTGGGCTCACTCTCTAGTTCTGTGAATCTCCTGGTGCCGTCTCCAGGGTTTTCTATATAGAAGATCATGACGTCTGTGTACTGATAGGAAGAGATATTTTGTTCTGCTCCTCTCTGATTTAGACACTTTCTATTCTACTTTTTAAAAATCTAATTATTCTGACAACGATGTGCAGTTTCTGGAATAGAAGCAGTTACTGGGGTGCCCTTGTGTTGCTCTTCATGTTCCAAGAATTGGTTTGAAATTTTCTCTGTGGAGCACAATGCTAACTGTTTTCTTTTCCAATGTACCATTTACTATACGGAGGTTCCTCACTTCTCTANGAATTTTCTCTGTGTAGCACAATTGCTGGAGCCCGCCGGCAGAGTCTAACGGTCCTGAGGAAGGGGTGAGGATGAAGAAAAGACAGACACGAAAAAGATGGGATCGGGAGAGCTGCAGCTCGTGACTGCTGCCAGCTGCCAGCCCCGAGTTTATTTCCCAGCTCAGTTTATACAGACACTGTTGATTATGCTAAATAGCACCCTGCCCTGCATTCCTTTACCTTGCCCCTATGAATGCTCTTAAGAGTAAATATCTTGCCTCCAGCAGGAGCTCAGATCTTATTAACTATCTTTGTCTCGGCTTCTAATGGGAACTTTTGGGGAGGATTGTCCTAGGCTAGGTGTGTGGCTTGACTGCCCTTTGATCCTTCAGGCTGGGACAACATCCTGAAAAGCCTTTCTGGAATACATGGCCACAAGCTAAATTGGTATCCCCTTGGTGCCACAAGGTCTGGGTCAGGAAGCAGTAGAGCACATCTGCAGCTCACCCAGGCATGGTGCCTGGGGCCACAGCAGCTCACCCACATCTCCCAGGGAGCAGGGGAGCACATCTGCAGCTCACCCAGGCAGCTCCTCCGTGCCTGGGGCCACAAGGGCTCCCCCCACACAATGCTAACTGTTTTCTTTTCCAAAGTACCATTTACTATACGGAGGTTCCTCACTTCTCTATGTAACGCATTTTGAATTTTGATCATAAAGAGGCTTTAATATAGTCCATTGCCATTTATTTATATGCTGATACAGTTAGTCCTTCATGCTGGGGATGAGCTGTGGCACATTTACTGGTTCCCTGGGTTGCACCGTCCTTGCCTTCCTGGAGGATGACGCACTGATCATGGNTTCACTTTTCTATGTAACGCATTTTGAATTTTGATCATAAAGAGGTTTTAATATAGTCCATTGCCATTTATTTATATGCTGATACAGTTAGTCCTTCATGCTGGGGATGAGCTGTGGCACATTTACTGGTTCCCTGGGTTGCACCGTCCTTGCCTTCCTGGAGGATGACGCACTGATCATGGTGAANGGGATGACACACTGATCATGGTGAATGACCTGCCAAAGGGCTGTTGAGTTTCCTAGTATTGAGGATTTTTGCATTTATGCTCATCAGGGACATGGCTTGTCATTTTTTGATTGCTCTTATTTGGCTTTGGCAGGAGTGTAGTGGTCACCTCAATAAAATAATTAGAAAGACTTTTGTCTTCTTGAAAGTCTTGGACGTGTTTGAGAAGAACTGACTGAGACAATACTATTTGTTCTGTGAAATTTGGCTAGAATTTACTCTTGTATCCACTTGAACATGGGATTTTCTTGTTGACAGGTTTAGATTAATACTTCAATTGTTTAAATAAATATGAACCCATCTAGGANGTTTAAATAAACATGAACCCATCTAGGAATGTCAGGGGCAAATTCTTAATTTAAACACCAAATTATGGACTGAGAAATACAACTGTTGATCTTCACAGGGTGTGGACAGGGCATTGTAATTCCCACATGGACACACCTGGACTGAGCAGTGAAACCCTAACAGGTGTCCTAAGTCTGGACGCCTCAGGTCGACCTGAGCAACATGAACTGACTTGGGAACCAATAGAGGTCCCCGCCTAGGGAAAGACCTGCCTCTGTGAACTGCAGCCAGGGGCTGGTCTCTGCAGGCTCTGAGGTGGGCAGGGCCAGCTCCTACCTGAGACTCAGCAACTGCATGTCTGCTCTTCCCCCTGAAGTTGGAGGGATTTTCTCAAGAGGGGACAAAGTCATTCCCCTCAAGATTTCTGGGCATTAAGGGAACATGCTGGACATGGGAACAAGTGTTCTCAGCACATTTAACAATTCCTCCTGTGAGAGGCAAAACTCAGCCAGGACACCCACAGAGTTAAGGGACAATGTATTTGGGTCCAAGGAGGAAATTACAGTTGTTTGCCGACCACATGCTTATTTTATAAACCATCCAAGAGAATAAATTAAAATCACACTTTCTTACAGAGATTTCATAAAATGACTTAGTGTTGAGAATGCACCTCCCTGGCCTCCATCTCCAGGGAGCACAGAGAACATGTCCCAGNGTAAATGACTTAGTCTTCAGAATGCACCTCCCTGGCCTCCATCTCCAGGGAGCACAGAGAACATGTCCCAGCTGCTGGTCTCTGAATTCCAAGGTGGTTTGTACTGCAGACACAGCTGTGCCCGACCCACAGACCATGTCTGAGCTTGAAAGTGACACTAAGGCAGGGCCATGGCTGGGAGACCCAGGCATCATTTGAAGGGAACACAGAGTGAAGAAATCTGTGACCCATTTGTTGTGAGGTCGAGAAATGCAGGGAGCTTAAGGCAAGTCCCACTTTTTGTGGACCGACTTTGATTGTGGGCTGACGGCTTCCCCAGGTTCACCAACCCTTTTGCAGTTTTCTCTCCCACAAGTGATACAATCCTTTTCTGCACGTGAGAATGTTTCTACTAAACTAATAACTACTTTAAATGCAGACCCATCGGGGGTAGGCACAGAGCACAGGTCTGGAGACTCTGGAGAGACTGTTGTGTGGAGAGGAAGCCCTGAGCCCTCAGAGGAAACAGCCAGAAACTCCACCTGCAGCTGCNAGGGGTAGGAACAGAGCACAGGTCTGGAGACTCTGGAGAGGCTGTTGTGTGGAGAGGAAGCCCTGAGCCCCCAGAGGAAACAGCCAGAAACTCCACCTGCAGCTGCTCCTGAAACTGAGAGTCTGAGGCAGTGAGCGCCCCCTGGTGTCCTGGGGGTCCCCTGCAGCCCAGCCTCCTGTCTCCTGCAGGGAGGTTTGTGTTTGGCTCACACTGACCTCCCCTCACTCAGTCTCTCTAACAGAAATACACGCCTGAGTCCTCAGATTTCAGGTTGTTCATTTGCNCTCGAACAGAAATACACGCCTGAGTCCTCAGATTTCAGGTTGTTCATTTGCAGATACAGCGTGTTCTTGGCGTTGTCTATGGAGGTGGTGAATCGGCCCTTCACAGAGTCTGCATAGTATGTGCTACTTCCATCAGGATAAATTAGACAGACCCACTCCAACCCCTTCCCTGGAGTCTGGCGGACCCAGCTCATGGCATAGCTACTGAAGGTGAATCCAGAGGCTGCACAGGAGAGTCTCAGAGACCCCCCCAAGCTTCACCACGGCTCCCCCAGACTCCACCAGCTGCACCTCACCCTGGACACCTGCAAACACAAAGACGTCCTGGTCAGGAAACCATCACACGTCCACTGTCTCTCTCACTCATGTCCATTCACACTCTCAGTGTCTCTTGTTCTCCATAAATTACGTCTTAAAATAGCAACAACTGAAACCCAGCTGAGCCCAAGCCTTGTGGTGAGTGATCTGTGTTCAGTCCTAATCAGGGAATGAGAATAGCTGTGGATCCCGGGGTTTGGGCTCCTGTCCCAGAGCTTCAGGGTCGGGGCTGGGCTGGTGTTTATGANATCTGTGTTCAGTCCTAATCAGGGAATGAGAATAGCTGTGGATCCCGGGGCTGGGCTCCTGTCCCAGAGCTTCAGGGTCGGGGCTGGGCTGGTGTTTATGACCAGAGGAGACCCTATATGCATGTCTTGCTACTCTATAGGGAGTTCTGACTTGAACTTAGTGTGAGGTCATTTCTTCAGGGCAGGTGAGAGAGCCCTGTGCCATTTGGTGGCCTTGGGAACATTTCTATCACTAAATCCAGAANCTATGGAGGTCTGACTTGAACTTAGTGTGAGGTCATTTCTTCAGGGCAGGTGAGAGAGCCCTGTGCCATTTGGTGGCCTTGGGAACATTTCTATCACTAAATCCAGAATTTTAGGGAGATTTGGGCCTTACTGAGGAGAACAATCTCAAAACAGTGACCCACCATCAGGGCTCTGATCTTCTCCACTGTCTCCCTTTGCTCCCCTGAACCAGCATCAGGACAGAGGAAGGCCTACCCAGTGAGGTTGCAGACCCCCTTGAATGTAATGAGAGCCTCAGTGAGCCCCTGTATTCTAGTGTTACCCACACTTCAGGTTTGTATCCAGCTGTGGCCTCAGAGTCCTCAACACAATGGAGAACGTTGTGTAACACCTGTGAGGTGGTCGTAGGTCAGCTAAGGTGAGTCCGTTCACTGAGATCTGGGAGGTACAACTGAAGTCTCTGTTGGGCACAGAAGTCTATCAAGTGACACAAGAAATCTGAGTGATGCGGAAAATCTGAGTGGCACAGGATGACAGGACCCCTGCTCTTGATACTATTGTCCCTCAACAGTCCCCAAGTTCACTGACCTTAGAATCATTCCCCTGGGATCTCATGTCAGGAATCAGACAACATCCTATTGGGGAGTAGTTATAACAGACACTCGCCCGTAGCAATAGCACACCCATGAATAACAGGGTCGGAGCTGGTCAGGAGTGACCTCTCCCTCTCCCTGGGAGGTGGGGCCTGAATTAGGTGGCTTCCCTTTCAATGACTGGAGGGGAGCCCATGGTGCGGCCACGGTGACAGGTGGGTGTCTNTACAGGGTCCATGCTGGTCAGGAGTGACCTCTCCCTCTCCCTGGGAGGTGGGGCCTGAATTAGGTGGCTTCCCTTTCAATGACTGGAGGGGAGCCATGGTGTGGCCACGGTGACAGGTGGGTGTCTTGTCACATTTACATCAGCTCAGGTCCTGGATGGAGAAGCTGGGTCAGCCTGTCGGGCCCAACCTCAGGAAGCCCAGATATGAAGGGAGATGACACTGGAGGCACTAGAGCAGCATTAGATGGACCACTGAGTGATGGTCACTGAGCTCTGACCTCCTAACCTCTGACCCAGCAGAGCAGTCTTCCTTGCCTGGGGCTGCAGGCTCACTCTGAATATTACTGCATTAAATTGGACCTCATAATGTTAATTAATTGAGAGTATAGCCAGTATGTTTAATTAGATTCGGCTCTTAGTAAATTTAGCATGAAATATACTCAAATAGCAATGATCACAGAAAAGGGCGTGACAGAGACGCACAGGGGAGCTTCCTGAGAGAGCTACCAGAAGAAATTAAGTCCAGAGGTTGCACATGGTCAGTGGGGACAAGGCTGTCAAGAGGCTGTGCAGAGGGAGACAGAGCAGAGGGGAAACCATCTCTGGTGACCTCAGATTTGGTCTCTAATGGGACCTGGAGCCGGACTGACCATGTTCGTCTGAGACAATTTCCCGAGACCCAGAGTCACCCTCTCAGGTGGGAGAACTGGACTCTGCTCATTTGAAACACACCCTCCCTGCTTCCCCCAGCTTCTGAAGTGCCCTCTGAGCTGATGACATTTCCATCTGTTGATGGTTCCATGGGAGTGTTTCCAGCACGAAGTCTCCTGTCCATTTTCTGTGGGTCCATCCAGAAATTCTGGGCTCACAGATATTCACTGTATCTCTAGGCTGCGGTCACCGTACACATAGGTGTCTTTGGACTGACCAGCTAATCCAAGATGTTCAAGGACGGTGGTCTCCAACAGTCACCCATGGTCTTGTNATAGGTGTCTTTGGACTGAGCAGCTAATCCAAGATGTTCAAGGACGGTGGTCTCCAACAGTCACCCATGGTCTTGTCCATCAGGGTGATGTATATCTGCTAGGGCAACCCGGACTATGGTGACACAAGTTGTGTTCTCTCCATGAGTCACCCAGCTGCATAATTCATTAGGGTCNCGGTCACCGTACACATAGGTGTCTTTGGACTGACCAGCTAATCCAAGATGTTCAAGGACGGTGGTCTCCAACAGTCACCCATGGTCTTGTCCATCAGGGTGATGTATATCTGCTAGGGCAACCCGGAGTATGGTGACACAAGTTGTGTTCTCTCCATGAGTCACCCAGCTGCATAATTCATTAGGGTCCCATATGTGAATCTCTCATTTCTTACAGGGAACCGGGAAGACCCCTCCCTGGAGGAGACATGGTGGTGGTGTGTCTGTCAGAGGGGCCAGCATTTGATTGACCATGGCCCCTGTGCCTGTCCATCACCATCATCAGCATCACAACCATCACTATCACCACCATTGTCACCATCATCACCATCATCAGCATCATCACCATCACCATCATCATCACCANCCCCATATGTGAATCTCTCATTTCTTACAGGGAACCGGGAAAACCCCTCCCTGGAGGAGACATGGTGGTGGTGTGTCGGTCAGAGGGGCTAGCATTTGATTGACCAGGGCCCCTGTGTCTGTCCATCACCATCATCACCATCACCACCATCATCACCATCACCACCATCATCATCATCACAACCATCACCATCACCACCATCTCCACCATCATCAGCATCATCAAAATCACCATCATCATCACCATCATCACCATCACAACCATCACTATCACCACCATTGTCACCATCACCACCATCACCNATGTGAATCTCTCATTTCTTACAGGGAACCGGGAAGACCCCTCCCTGGAGGAGACATGGTGGTGGTGTGTCTGTCAGAGGGGCCAGCATTTGATTGACCAGGGTCCCTGTGCCTGTCCATCACCATCATCACCATCACCACCATCATCAGCATCATCACCATCACCATCATCATCACCATCATCACCATCACAACCATCACTATCACCACCATTGTCACCATCATCACCATCATCACCATCAACACCATCATCACCATCATCAGCATCATCACCATCACCATCACCATCACCATCATCACCATCACAACAATCACTATCACCACCATTGTCACCATCACCACCATCACCATCACCACCATAACCACCACCATCACCACCACCACCANACACCATCATCACCATCATCATCATCACCACCATTATCACCATCATCACCATCACCATCATCGTCACCATGACCATCATCATCATCACAATCACCACCATCATCACCATCATCACCATCACCACCATCATCACTATCATCACCATCATCACCATCACCGCCATCATCACCATCCTCACCATCCTCACCATCATCACTATCATTACAATCACCACCATCATCACCATCACCACCATCACCATCACCATCATCACCATCACCATCACCATCATCATCATCACCATCACCACCATCACCATCACCATCATCACCATCATCACCATCACCATCATCACCATCATCACCATCATCAGCATCATCACCATCACCATCATCATCACCATCATCACCATCACAACAATCACTATCACCACCATTGTCACCATCACCACCATCACCATCACCACCATCATCACCATCCTCACCATCCTCACCATCATCACTATCATTACAATCACCACCATAATCACCATCATCACCATCACCACCATCTTCACCATCATCACCATCACCATCCTCACCATCCTCACCATCATCACCATCATTACCATCGTCANCATCACCATCACCACCATCCTCACCATCATCACCATCACCATCCTCACCATCATCACCATCATTATCATCGTCACCAGCATCACCATCATATTTGCTTATTTATTATCATTTTTCTNCCATCCTCACCATCGTCACCAGCATCATCACCATCATATTTGCTTATTTATTATCATTTTTCTCATTTTTAAGGCATATTGTACACACATAATGAGCCATTATCTCTATTTCTGCTCATTTTTTATAATTGTTCAGTGAAATTTGTAGCCAGACTCTATTTTCCTTCTCATGTGACTGATGGCTCATTCCTGCCTCTTCTCCATTTGCCCCACTCGGGAATCTGATAGGAAAGGCGGGGTCTCCTCTGTAGATGTCCTGGGGAAATGAAACCACACCAGCCCCTGGGATTAGATTTCCTCCCTCCCCACCACCTCGCTGAGATCAAAGTCCTGAGCCAGTCTCCTCTCCTGGCTCCACAGATCCCCTCTGACTTGCTGTAGGGCCTTCCCTGTGCTTCCCAGAGATTTCAACTCTGTACATGACAAACTTCCTGTTCCTTGGTTGTGGGTTTGTCCACAGCCTATAGAACTGTGCAAAGCCACCCTGAGTCACTGTCTCTTCCTAGTGTCACCTACTCTTGGAGCGGTAAGCATGACCACAGGTCAATGACTGTCACCACGTGGGTCTCTCCTCTCTAGCTTTGGGGTCACATGTCTCANAGAGGTGAGCATGACCACAGGCCAATGACTGTCACCACGTGGGTCTCTCCTCTCNCTGTCTCTTCCTAGTGTCACCTACTCTTGGAGCGGTAAGCATGACCACAGGTCAATGACTGT